TAACCCTATGCTTAACATTTAAAGAACTGCCAGATTGTTTACCAAAGTGGCTGTGACATTTTACATTTCCATTAGTAATGTATGAGGGCTCCTATTTCTTCCAAATCCCTGTCAATACCTGCTATTATTTAACTTTTTGAATATAAAATAAGTTGTTTAGTATTCAATCAATACACCTAGATTTTTATGGACTGGAAGATGTTCTTACTCACTGACATCAAACTTTAGACTTGAAAATAGTTCAGTCCTATATCTGCTCCCCTCGCTTACTTCCCTTTTTATAATAAGAGTACAGGAATAAGTTAAATCCAAAAATAAAAGTTTTACAGAAGAGATCAGAAGCAGATTTTCTAAGCACTCAATGAAACCACAGTCCCTACCAGAGATCCAGCACTGAAGTTCCCATCAAAGCTCACTTACAGGGCTGATATACTGGCTCGAGTGGTAGAGCGCCTATCTAGCAAATATGAAGCCCTGAGTTCAAACACCAGTACTGCAAAAAAAAAGTTAATTTATAATGCTTCCTACATAAATGTAACTTCAAACCATAGCTGCAAATAAGACCTATCATCTTCCATTAAAGACCAGCAATTTCTTAGATGTCCCTACTGCTTAAATCCTGCTGTAGTAGAAATAAAAATATGCATTTAAAAATAAATGCAAAAAAAAAAAGTGCAGAGTGGCTCAAGTGGTAGAGTGCCCGCCTAGCAAGCGTGAGGCCCTGAGTTCAAACCCCAGTGCTGCAAAGAACAAAAAAATAAACATAATACCCTTTAAAGAAAAATAAAAATAAATGCAAAAAGAAAAAAAAAAATCAGTACAAAGGCCCAGACTCAGTGTCACAAACATACAAAATACCTGATTGTTTCCTTGCCCCAAACCAGACACAGAGTGCACTGTGCAGCCTTTCCCAGTTCTCCCTATCACTGTTTCTTATACTGTCAGGGCAGCAAGTAATAGAGGGCAAGCAGCAAATAATAGCATTTACAGCAGCCCCACACCCACAAAAAAGAGGATCGAAAAATATCGGCACCCAGCATCAAGCTCACTAACTCATTTTCAAACAGTAAAAACTGGCATTTTAGTCAAGAAAGGGTGAGCCATACAGCCCCTTCTGAAATACGTAATTTTTTGCAGTTTTTAGGCTTAATTCTGCCTTTGGGTGAGTTTTTGTTTTGTTTTGTTTTGTTTTTTTTGCGGCACCGGGGCTTGAACTCAGGGCCTATATACCTTGAGCCACTCCACCATCCCTTTGGTGTTAGGTATTTTCGAGATAGGGTCTTGCGAACTATTTATAGGGCTGGCTTCAAACCACAATCCTCCTGATCTCTGCCTCATCAGTGGTTAGGATTACAGCGTGAGCCACCGGCGCCCAGCCCTTTGAGTGAATCTTTGTCTCTATTCTGCAGCACTAAGTATGGGCCTGCCTCCATTAAGGCACTAGAGTCAACATGCACAAGCACTTCAGCTGCAGTAGGAGAGAGAGATCCATGACCACCAAATCCCCATTTCTACTTGTCCACTCCCCTTCCATTTCCCTGTTTAATTAGAGAAAATGATTCCAACTCAAGACAAATTAAGTACATCTTTATAAATATTTCAATCTCTTCTACTATGTGAAGGTGAAAAAGACACAAAAATGTGTAAAATACAGTCCCTGCCAGAAAGGGGTTAGGTCCCACCAAAAGAAAAAATATATATACATATATATTATTATTATTATTACTATTATTATTATTATTATGGCTGTAATAGGGTTTGAAATCAGGGACTCAACTCACTAAGCAAGTGCTCTACCACTTGAGTCACACACACACACAACTCTTTTCTGCTTTACTTAATTTTCAGGTAAGGTCTCACTCCTGCCAGCCTTTTGGATCCAGATCCTTCCTTCCTAAATCTCCTATGTAGCTGTGATTACAGACATGCATCATCATGCCTGATTCCAAAATTATTCTTTTTTCTTCTTTTTTCTTGGCAGTACCTAGGGGCTTGAACTCAGGGCTTAACACTTGCTAGGCAGGTGCTCTACCACTTGAGCCACTATACCAGCCTTTTTTTTCTTTTAAACCAAAAAAAGCAAATACGAAGCCAATTGTGATGGCATACATTTTGTAATTCCAGCACCTGGAAGGTTGAGGCAGAACAATCAAGAGTTGGAGGCTACCATGGGTCAAAACAAAACAAAAAGAAAAAACAGGGACTGGAGGCATGGCTCAGGCAGCAGAGCACCTTTTTTTTTTTTTTTTTTTTTTTTTGCAGTACTGGGGCTTGAACTCAGGGCCAACACCTGGAACCACTCCACCAACAAGCCCTTATAGGGTCTCGAAAACTACTGCCTGGGCTGGCTTTGAACCTTGATCCTCCTGATCTCTACCTCCTGAGTAGCGAAGATTACAGGCATGAGCCACCGGCTCCTAGACAGAGCAACTGCTCTGCAAGTGCGAAGTCCTAGTTCAAACCCAGTCCCACAAAAAAAAAAAAAAAAAAAAAAAAAAAAAACCCACCCTAGAAACAGAGTATTCCCAGGAGCTGAAATGAAGATTTGTAGCACCTAATCACAACTCAAGAGAGATCAAAGTGAAGATCAGGGCATCCCAAACTGGAGCAAAATTCATGAGATTCAGGTGAGATGAACTGGGTAGAGAAATATTATGTATGGAATATTAAGCAAGCCAATTAGTTACTGGGGATTAGGATAAAGTCTGGGGAAGTAGGCTGGAGTTAGCTGGGCAGCAGTGTCTTTTTTTTGGTGGTGGTACTGAGGTTTGAACTCAGGGTTTTGTGGTTGCTTGGAAGGTGCTCTATCACTTGAGTCATACCTCCAGACCAGCAGCAGCACATTAAATGCCACATTAGGATATCAAATCTCATCCCATAAGCCCACAGAAGTTCCTGACTTTGGGTAGCAGCTCCATCAGTCAGTGAAGTCTCTATTTGTTGTCCATAATAGTTAAAAGTGCTAAACTGGAAGTGATGGCACACACCTATATATAATCCCAGAAACAGAGGCAGAAGAATCATGAGTTTGAGGTCATCCTGGGATACACAGGGAGATCCTATCTCAAGAAATCAAAAGTGCTGAAAGTAAATTATGCAAAATAAAGAAATTAAAGTGGAGAAAGGGTCTGCTAGCGTAACAATAATTTCACTCATTCGCACTAAAAAATGTCCAGTAAAATAGTGTTATTAGCTGCCTTTTTGTAACTGTTGAATCAAGCATTATCATTACTCACAAATATTCATGAGTAGTAAAATCATTAAACAAAGACAATAAAAGTTCCTGGATATTCTGATTTCCTGGGGACAGTAGTTCTAACATAGGGACCCAAGTTCAACCAAGCTCAGACTTTAATGGGCCCTTGAACTTCTAAAATTATATGCAAAAATCAGTGTTGAGAATTTGACTAAGGAATAGCTTCTTTCTATATCTTAAAGAGGTCTAATATCCAAAACAAGATAGGGCCCTAACTTAGGGTTACTGTAATTTTAACAGAAACAGCTGTCTCATTTTCCTAAAAGTACACTCTTCAAAGGGGGAGGGGCTGGGACAATTTTGAGAAATTCCTAATATTTTAGTATCTTCCCCTTTCGTGATTCACACCTGTAATCCTAGCTACTCAGAAGGCAGAGATCAGGAGGATGACAGTTCGAACCAGCTCTGGGCAAATAGTTGGTGAGACCATCTTGGAAAAAACCATCACAAAAAAAGAGCTGGGGGAGTAGCTCAAGTGACAGAGCAAGCATGAGGCCCTGACTTCAAACCCCAGTGCCACAAAAAAAAAAAGAGTTGCCCAAAGAACTGATCTTACCAAATTCATTAAGGATTCAAAAAATTTAACCTGAGGAAGGGCAATGAAATGAATAACTAAAGACTACTCAACTTCTCTTTCCTCACAAGTGTAATATCAGGCAAACAGCAACAAGCTGCCTGCCTCCTTTGGTTTCAGCATGTCTTCCAAAAGGATTTCCAAATCAAGGAGCTGCTTTCTTTCAAAATTAAACATTCGGAGATGACATGATTTCTAACAGAAATGCACAAAGTATTGTTTGCTTCATCTCTCAGCCATCTTATGCATGTTTGTAGACTATATACAAGATACCTGTGTGGAGAGGACAAGAGGCCACAGGTAAAAAAGAAACGTGTTTTGGAGCAGTGAGAACCCTTTCTAGATAAGATCTCCAACATCCCTCGCTCTTGGAAAGAAAGAGACCTGACAATCCGTTTTCATAGAGCAAGTATGTTTAGTGTGGTTAAAAGTTAACTTGTCAGTTCAAGACCACCCACAAATAACAAAAACAGGTTTCAAGCTGGGTTTCTTTCTTTCTTTCTTTTTCAATTCTAAACACACTGCTACATTTCCCTTGATCAAACTAACGGAATATTTCTTTAGAAGATAAAATTAATGAAGACATCATCATCTCTCCTAAAACACACACTCCAAAAAGTGCTCAAGCACCAAAAAATTGTACCTCAAAATAAAATTCGGACATTATGGCTATTTAACCAGGTCCTCCGAGAAAAAGCAAACGGTGAGGTCCGCGGAGATCTCAGGAAGAAGGGGCCAAGCGTCTACGACCTGCAAGCCGCGGAGGCTTGGCCTGGTTCGTATTACCTTAATCTTTAGCAGCTAAAAATTACTCCTGGTACGTGTATCTCCCACCTGGGAGCAACGCAACGTACCGGAGACCACCAAGCTGGCACTAAACACGTTTCAGCGCTCCTGATCAGTGGAGCCCAGGGACCTGGTCAGAGAAACAGGTTTCCCGCTACCTCTCAGGCCAGCCCTAGGGCATAGGGCTCCCCGACCCGGCTGCCCTCTGGCCTCCGCGCCAGCATCTGGGAGGCCCGGCGGGAGGCTAGTCAGGACGCTCAAGTGATGTCCCAGCGATGCTCCACCTAATCCCCGGCCCCACGCGCGTCTACTTCAATCCCGCGCCCGCCGCCACCCTCCCCGCGGGCGTCGGGCGGGTCTTTCGGCCCGGCTCCTGTCACTCACCGGCCCGGCCCGGGAAGCGGACGCCCAAGGCTCCCCAGGGGAGCTGGGCCCCCCGGGCCTCCAGGTTTAGGCCCGCCCCCTGGCAGGCAGCGCAGGTGGCTGAGCCCCGCAACAGCGGCCCCGAACCGGCCGCTCGGTCCAGCTCCCGGCGCTGCCCACTGGGTACGGATCAACAACAAGATGGCGGCCAGCCGAGGGGGCGGGGGCCGGGCGTCATAGTAACCAGGATGGCAAAGAACCCGCCCCTAACCGAGGTTATCCCCAATCAACAGCCTCTTATTCCGACGCCGGGAGGAGCACTTTCCACTAACCGGTCGGCTGGCCCGTCAATCAGAGCTTTCCTCTCACACCCCGTGAAGAATGCCTGAGGCACGTGACTATGACGGCACGAGTTGGCGCATGCGCGCCGTTCCCAGAGGTGCTGGTGGCGGAGCTCTTGCTGGCTTCTAGGAGGCCGGGGCGCCCTTGGCTTCCTTGGCTGCGCAACCGCTTGGTGCTCAGCTGACAACATCTGTCATACTCGCGCTCACACTTAGGGAATGTCAGTGGTGTAGTATTCGCTTTCTTTGTCGCTTACTCTGGGAGTTGGGGTTGACACCCGTTCACTGGTGAGCAAACTGAGGCGCAAGAGGGGAGGCGGGGCCAAGGTCACGGCTACTCTGGAAGTGGAGGCGGTGGGTCTCATACCTCCTCCTACAGCTCCAGGGTATAAAGAGCCTCTTCCTAGCATCTTCCCCAGTCGCGATACATAGCCTTCTGTGCTGCCTCAGCACCTTCTGGCCCCTTGTCCATGCTTGTTCTGCCTGAAGTTAAGTCGGCAGCGCAATCCCTGGCACACAGCAGGCGGCTCTTCTCTGCCCCGGAGCATCTTTTGCTCTGTACTATCATGACCTACCTCCGAGGCAGACTGTGATTCCCATTGTAGATGATCATCCCTCGTTCTCCATACAGAGCTTGACTTCAAGGTTAAGATACCAGACATAGTCTCACATCCAAATGCCCCAACTAGGTAACTCTGAGACTTTTAGCCTTAGCCTCTCTGAGTCTTGGTTGTCCCATCTGTAAAATGAGGATTAAAGTTGAGCTGCTCAGAATGCAAATTTAATGAGCCCTTGGAACAAGTTAAGTACTCAGGAAAAAATCCAGCTACAGTCACTTTCTAGCTGTTGAACCTGAGATCTCTAGCACTAACTTTGATGGGAGCCCTATTAAGAGTGTTTTTCTGCAGGTGTGGTGACTCACATCTGTAATCCCAGCATTAGGGAGGCTGAGGCAGGAGAATCATGAGTTCGAGGCCAGCCTGGATTACATAGTGAGGACTTGTCCAAAAAAAATGTTTTTCCCACAGAAGGTAAGGGCCTGGGATACCATAACTGGCTCGGAAAGGAGGTTATCCAGTGCTCTGAGAGAGTTCAAGCCCACAGGTTTGACAGAGGGGAGAAGATTGAGATAATTTGAGGATACCATAGTAAGGGTAAACTCTACCTAGGCAGCAGGTCCTCTTGGAGGGCTGGCAGTCTGGACCTGATGCCAGGTAGGGCATGAGAAAGGGGTCAGCATTGCAGCAGGACCCACCCTCCTTCAGGTTTCTGTAAGCCACCTGGTTATGTGCAACAGCTCAGCTCAGCACAGAGAGATCTGAAGGCTAAGGAATTAGAAGAAACAGATTAGGAAGAAAACAAATCACTCCTCAGAAGAGGGTTTTCATCAATCCCTCCAGGACCAACCATGCACAGGTTTCTCAAGTCTACCCACCCCTCAACCCAATGAAAAAGCTCCAGATCCTTCCCAACAAACCTCTACACAGTTGTTAAACTGCCATGAAGCTTGGCGGGACCCCCAAAAAACAACAGTGTCCTCCTCTTGGTAGGAAAAAGAACAGGTGGCATCTGAAGGGACAAGACAAAGAAGCCCTCCTCAGTTACTGACAGATAACAGCCTCTTACCTCCGCAGAGTGTCAGTCACTGTCAGAGCATCTCACAATGCTTCTTCACAAGGTAACACTTTCTCTAAGTACGAACAAAGAAGCACAGGTCTCAGAACTTCTCCCACACCGAGATTACAAGGCTTGGACTTTTATATTTGTAATGTTTTATTATTGAATCAAGTTAGAAATATAGCCCATGATCATATGAAAAATTCCATGCATAGTGAAGCAGCTGCTCAGCCTCAGATCCAGCGCCGGGCTCCTGTGCTTGTATTGAACAAGTAATCTCTGCCAGTACCTGAGCCCAGATGGTAGGGTGGAGGAGGGAGAAAAGAGGAAGAGAGGGAAGATGAGAGAGAATGAACTGCTGGTCTCAGCAGTACTTCCTCCCTTAGTGTGATCTCTCTTCTGGTGAGATCTAACTTTTTCCCTCCCTCCCTTCTCAGCGAATACACTGAGATCTGACTCAAATACATAAGAAGCCTCCTTGGTTCTCCAAAACTGAACACCAGTTCCTCTATGACCATTGTCAAATTACTCTGCCATAATTCACTGGTGACAATAGAGTATCTGGGGAGCTTTCCTCTCAACACCATTCCCCATCTCCTGTGGACAGGGACCAGACCAAGTCTGCATGATCTCCTGGCCTCACCAGTGCTTGACAAAGGTGGCCTGAAGGGTGGATGGGGGTGAGATCAGAACCCATTCAGTGAAAATGTAGATGATGGGTGCTTGGTGATAGGAGGAAATAGTGAGACAGGATGTGGAGAGGAGAAAATGCTAGAAAGGGGTGACAGGTCAGTCAGAAAATGGTTTGGGAAAAGGGGACTCACGGGCATCTTGTGCTCTGCCATCAAAATGCTGCTGAAAAGAATGAAAGGGTGAAATGAGTTGAACCCTGCCCACTGGGAGCAGATGGAGGGGCCAGGAGCCCATCCACGTTCTCCATCATGATGGTGCAGGTGTGGGCACTCCCACAGGGGTAACCATTCACAGGCAAGTGGACAGGGTTGGCAGGGGCAGAGTATCCTGGAGCAGTCTCAGTGCCCAGTATTTGGGATGGGAGTTCACGTACCAGGCTCATGACACTGCTAGGTGCCTGGGACATTTCCACACTTGGTACCTCCATAAATCCCTCAATGGATCCTTCATTTCCTTGGATACTGGAACAAAGTAGGAGCAGGGGAATAGACTAAGGCCCTGGGCCCCAGAATGAATTTAAGAGATGAGCTCCCAGGCACAGAGGTATGGAAAGGAGACTTGACCTATTTAGCAGCAAAGCCTGGGCTGGTTTGCTTGGTGCCTGCAGCACCTGGGCCAACCTAAAATGCTAGGAGGAGGAACAAAGCAGTGACGGCAGCAAGCCTGCTGACACTGGGAGCTAGCATCATTTATCTGTTCCTCTATATTGAGGACAACCAGTGCCTGTATGTGATGCCCATATTGTTATCACCCCTTCCCTTGGGCTCAGTTCTGTGCCCACAAGAAATTCAGTCTACAGGATCAGGGTGGGTTTCAAATGGAAGGTAGGGGTCAGGAACATGCATGACAGACTCAAACCCTGAGCCATCCAAGTCCAAGACTGGGCTCCACGAACAGTAGAGACCACTTTCTTTCAATGTCTCTCTGATTCTAATCTGAAGACTTCTGGTGAGACAGCAAGAGCCCTCCTTTTTAAAAAATTTTAAAGAGCCCTCCTCAACATCAGTTTGCCTATCAACTTGGTCATTGTCATCAAATCTTAAGTGGGAAACTACCTATCCCAGCCAAGGTCCATAAGTGGACTGGGAGAGACAGGGAGTGCAGGGATAGGAACCCTACCCCTGGAGGAATCTGCCGAGGAGCCAGCCCAGAGTCAAGAGGACAAGGACACCAGTCATTGTCAGCACCACCACAAACCAGGGCTCCGGCTGCCAGAAAGACTCTGTGTCTGTCAGAAGCAGGGGTGACATCATTGAAGACATCTGAAATGAGGACCACAGCCTCACCACGGTGCTGCCAAAATCCTTGACCATCCAGTTTTCAAACCTCTCCAAGGGGTGGGCCACCCCACACCCTACATTTGCTCCTCTATATTGCCAGGTTATTTGCATTTAGCAATTTCCTCTGGAATGCCTTCCCCCCAAAAAACTAGGTGTCCTCATCCTTCAAGGTCCTTTCTCCCTACCCCCAAGGGCCTAAGGACCCCTCACTGTGGTTCTGTGAGTGCTGGTGGCCACTGTGCTGGTCCTCCAGGGAACTAGATGCACAATGATGGTGGTTGTGGCACTGAGGTGGGGAATGGAAGGGCCTGCATCGGCCACACGGATCAATAGCTGATAGGTACAGGGTTGTTCTGGCCAAGGTGGTCCCAACAGAGTATCATTGTGCACCAGGATGTCCCCTTGCAGTCTGAATCGGCTCTGGGTATTCCCTGAAAGCAGAGTGTCAGGAGAAGGAGACCATTGCTGGCCTTGGCCTGCCCCTCACCCCACAGCCTGGTGGCCCCCACAATCCTTACCTCCGACAATGCTGTAGGAGAAGGCCAGGCGCTGTGGCTCCTGAGGGATCTGGCATGACACCCTGGCCACTTCTATGCTATGGCCCAGGGGAGTATAGATTGTAAGTTCCTGAAATGGGGGCTCACATTCGGGGGCATGGTCATTCACATCCTGCAGAAAGGTCACTAGGTTAGGAATGGGTGCAACCTACTCCCCAAGCCCCTAGGCCAGTCCCTCAGCTTCCTTCTACTACAGCCAGAGCCCAAATGTCAGGCAGTGGATAGGCTCTAATGCTTTCCACAGTGAAGTCCCGTCCCCGCCAACCAACCAATGGAGAAACTGAGGCACAGCTTGGGAAAGTAAAAAGCCAGAGGGCAATTTGTCTTTTTAGGCCTTGTGGATTCAGTTACCTCAACCTCAATGGTAATGGTACAGGAACCTGAGTGGTGGTGGATAGGATTCCAATCTTGGCCATGATCAATAAGAAGAACAGTGATTTTGTACAACCTCTTCTGCTCATAGTCCAAAGGCCCCAGTAGGTAAACCTCCCCTAAGGGGAGAGACCACAGCCTCAGCCTTCAGAGCCAACTCTGACCCCACCCCTCCATCCCAGACCTGAGGTGAAAGTACCACTGTGACGGTCCACAGCAAAGGTGGAGGGCCTGCCAGAAGTGTAGTACTCAATGTTGTTGCGTGGGTAATCCATATCTGTGCCCACCACAGAACCCAGCAGAGTGTGGGGCCCTGCATCCTCCCGAATCCGAAACGTGCGTGCAGTACAAGCTGGGGAGAACTCATTGACAGGTGTCACCATCACCAGCACTGGCACCTCAGCTGAGGGACATTTGACAGTTGAGGAGCTAGCCTGGGGAGACTACCCCTGCCCTGGGCATCTAAAGAAGGAGACCTGCCTTTGAGCTCTCTGGGCGGGGGTGTGGGGGGACAACATGGAGAGGGAGTTCTAAGAGAGACACCCTAGGAACCTGAAATGGAGACAACCCTGCCCTACTGGTTTTTGAGGGAGGAAAGTTGCCTATGTCTCGGTGATGAGAAGAGTGAGTGGAATAGCCCTGTCCTGAATGTCTAGGCCTAAGTGTGGTCACTTACTGGTCATCCGGGGCTGACCACCATCAATCACCAGGATAGAGGCTACATGCTGGAAGCAGGTCTCAGGAGTATCACAGTCCAATGTGGTGTTCACCTGGCCAGAGAGCCAATGAGAGAGGCCCAGCCAGGACCTGGCAGAGCCTGAAGCCACACTGGGCTGCCTCAGACCAGAGCATTCACAGATGGTCTGTTTTGCAGACTGCAAAGCAAGTGACTCAACAACCATACTCCCACCCCACTTCTATGGTCTCAGTGGCCACAGACCCTTGGCCCACCCACCCCTTCCTGCCTTCAAAGCACCCTGAGCTTGTGGGTCTGGGTGCGGGGTAAGCACCTCAAGGACTCTGTCCCGAAGGCGGAGACTGGCAGGGTTGGGAGAGCTCTGGAACTGCAGCTCGTAGTCCAGAGCAGCGACAGCAGAGTCTGGGTCAACGCAAGTGAGGGTGCTCAGCACGGTGCCCACATGTGCAGTCTCGGGAATTTGAGTCCTGGAAGTAACCAGGCAGCAAGACAGGAATCTGGCCTGGCTGTGAGCCACGGATCTCATCCCAGTGGCCCAGACAAGGCTCTAGAGTACTCACGCCAGGAGCGCCGGAAGGCAGCTTGGGGGCCACTGGTTGACAGATCTCACGTTCACTGTGAGATGGAGCTCCGCACTTGCCCAAGGCTGGAACCGTTCAAAGGCCTTCACCTGCAGCCTTGTCACCGCTGCCCCTGGGTTTTGAACCAAGTCCAGAGGCGCTGTAGTCCGGACCATCCCGTCCTCTAGGTGTGGTGGGAGGGTGGAGAAACAGCTCGGCCCCGCCCCCAGCTCAGTTCCGACCCTCGCCAACAACCTCAGAGAAGGAGGTCGCTGATTTTAGACACTCCTGCCTGCCTCCTCTAAGGTAGGGCTCCCAACTCAACTTTGCCCCAGCCACAACCCTGGCTCTGGTCTCTTAGAGAGGCAAGGTGGTGGTAAGGGTCATCCTTGGATCAGGTGCAGAGGCATTTGAGTACCCTCCCTACTTGTCCCTCACCGCGTCCAATGGAGTAGAGTTGGCTGGGCACTGGGGAGATGATTTCATAACGCAAGTTGAAGCCCCTAGCTTGGACTTGAACCACCTCGCTCCCAGGAACCAGATCCTCCAAGATTGTGATACTCTGGGCTTTCTGCCTGTACCAAAAGGGGAGCAGTGTTTCTTGTCTGCTCCAGCTTACTCCAGCAAGGTTGGCAGTCTGCTTCCCTGGAACTCCCCTTCTGTCAGAGCTAGGATGCTCCTGCAGCCCCACACCTATGCCTACTCCTGATTCCCTGGTCCCAGACTCCCCCACTGTTCCCAGGATAGGGTGCCTTACAGGAAGGAGACCTGGCTGGAGGAAGCAGGCAAAACCTTCACCGTCAGCATCCCTTGGCAGCTTTGGCCTTGTCCAAAGAACACTGAGATCTGCAGTTGGAAGACCTGCAGTACATACAGGACAGGAAGGGAACCAGGTGATGTGTACACTTCTATGTATATGCCCAGTCTTCCTCTCAAATAGGTAGCCCACCTCCACAAGGAACCACAACATTCACTCCTCCCCACATCCAATCACTCTTCAAAGACAAGTATTCCTTTGAGCCCTATACCTCTGGGGCCTGAATTATTCTATAGGCTGCAAACAGCTCAGGAAAGTTGTATCTGAGTGATTCACAATGTAAATTATTAGATTAGAGTTGCTAAGAGCCAGTTACCAAGAGGTGGAAGTTTTTGTTGCTGTTTGTTTTGTAGTACTCTAACCTCCTCAGTGGCTACTTTATCCAGAACTTTCTCTTAAAACGTGTTGCCTTAAACATTCTCCATTCTGTTAGAGGACCTATGAGCTCCCAGAGCCAGAGAACTTTCCTCTTTCATAAACTCCAGAAACCAGCATAGAACCCAGCAAAAGTAAGAGGACAGACAGTATGAGGCAGCAGGTGCAGATCTAGAAGAAGCAGCATTAATTGAGGAACCTAACAGCAAACAATTTTTCAGAAGGTGGTGGTTCTGTCCTGTCCAGTTCACTCTTTCTTTCTTCTTCTTTTTTTTTTTTTGAACTCGGGGCCTCATGCTTATAGCAACTGTCCATAGATATGCACAGGTCCCAAGTCATGCTTACCTTTTGAGCCTGGCCTTTGAGACCCTGTAATGGTGCCTGCAGCCAACCCTGCTCATTGATGGAGAAAGGTCCAGGAAAGTATGGAGGATCCTGGGCACTGGTAATGTTCATCTGATAGAACAGAAATGCTAGTGGCCCCATCCAGTGTCCCAGCATCCCTGTCAACATCCTTCAACATAACAGATACCAGCTGACACCCTACTCTCCCATACCTCACTGCCCCTGCCTAGGCTTCTTGTCTTTTGCTGTGAGCCTTGACCCTGACCCTCAGTTCTTTCTGCTTTAAAACTAATATTTTTAAACTATTGTTCTATTTTTTTTTTTATTACAAAAGTGATATAAAAGGGCTGGTGAAGTGGCTCAAGTGGTAGAGTGCCTGCTTAGCAAGCATGAGGCCCTGAGTTCAAACCTACTGCTGAAAAAAAAAATGATATAAAATTGTCATGGAGCTCCAAACACGTAAGAGAACTTGAAAGAAGAGCTCAGCTCCTCAGATCTCCCTGTGGGAACAGCCTTAATCACATTGGGAATGGGGGAGGGGGGGCGTTCTCCAAGAACATGTATCACGCAGAAACTCAGTTGTGCACTGCTGGGTCCCTCTGCAGGCTGTCCCTGGCCAGGCAGGAGCCGAACTTACTTTTCCCCTCCCACCTCCTTCCCCTGTCCTGTCATCCACTGCCCCATGTATTGGGCTCACCTGGGCTCCCTGGACTTCTAGGCCTGGCAACAGCAGAGTGTACAGCCGGGCCCCAGGTGTGACTGTCTCCAGGACGTAAATGAATTCCCCAGCTGGCCAGAGAGAAGATCAAGAAGGCTCTGTCTAGTCCAGTTCTTCCCAACCCCTACTTGCTGCCCCTTGCCTCACCTGCGCTAGCAAATCGGCTCTCACACTGGATGTGACCAGGATCTCGCTGTACATCCACAAAGAGTGGTCCTTTCATCACAGAGTTGCCACATGTGTACTGCAGCTGCAGCTCATAGTGGTTTACTGCAAGGGCATTCAGCCGAGCTGAACTACTTAAGGTCACCTGTGATGGGTAGGCAGTGCCATGTCTGGTCTAGGCTCTTTGACTCCCTACACCACCTCTGGCTTTGGGAATTTCACATCTCCCCTTGTGCCCCAACAGTCTCCAATTGTACGCATGACTCTACCTTTCCCACATAGATCCCCTGCTGACCAGCCAGGCTGGGTTTGTTGAAGAACGTGGTGTTTGGCTGCACACTGAGCAACTCCAGCGTAGGAACATAGGAAGTGCAGTTGAAGGAGAAAAACTGAATGATGGTGCCAGGGCCCTGGCGCTCAGAGACATTTACAAACCAGGGCAAGCTGTGCAGATCTATAAGGAGCAGAGCACTCAGGCTGGAGGCCCCCATGCAATCTTGGGGCCAAACAGCCAAGGTCCTCCCCTATCCCCCACATCTGACATTTCACAGATGAAGAAAGAGAGCTTGTTTGAGGAAGCAGTCAAAATAAAGAACAAGGGTCAGGAGTTCAGTCCCTTACCCTCTCTTAATTCTATCCCAGCCCCTGTCTTCCATGGTAGTTTACCTAAGGGTCAGGACTCCAAAGAAAAATTGGGGTTCCCCCACCCACCATCTCCTCACCATAGACAATCAGAGCAAAAAGAAGCACCAGGAGCCTAAGCAATACCATGGTGGCCTGAAGAGATGGCACAGGAAGCTGTTTGTCAGGCCCACATGGTTGCCAGGTCAGTTGTTTAAACATAGCTGGGCAGGCGGGCTTCCCAGACTCCAGCCCCACCCATCCCTGTGTGAGTAAGCTCTAGACCACTGGCTGGCTTCCAGAGGCCTAGAAAATCCTATTTTCCGCCACTCCCAACAAATTACCCCATTCATTACCATATCCCTAAGGGGTTGTGAGAGGAGGAGGATCAAACTACAGTTGAGGAAACTGGTCACATTGTCCTTGAAGTCAGAGCAAGCAAACTCCAGCTGCTCCCCACATCATTAGAACATTATCTGTCTACAAAATCTGAGCCCAACCATCAAGGAAATCTCTCAAAAGTTATCTATACTCAATAAGGAAAAGGAATCCTTGGTGATAGAAATAAAAGTAGTGGTTACTTATGAGGATATCAACTGAAAGGGACACAAAATAGCTTCCTACAGTGGCTGAGGATGTGCTATATCTTAATCTGGGTGGCAGTTGCGCAAGTGTGTACAATTTTTTAAACAAATTTTTAGTAGGGTATATTCGTTACATACGGGGTTGGAATTCATAGTGACAATTCTGATTAGTCTTATATTGTACATTAGTTACATCACCTCCATCATCTCTCTCCCCCTCAATCCCTTCTCTACGCCCTCACTGTGCCCCTCCTCTGCCTACACTCATCTCCCCCATCTCATCCAGGCCCATGACCTAAAGTATCATCCACTGACTTTGTTTCTTGGTCTATAACTCCAGTGCTGATCTCTCTCCTGAGCTCCCAAGTCATATACCTAGGGGAAAACCCTGCAGCTCCTCAGGGTCATGTGTCTACAAATGATCATTTGATTTTCTTCCCCAAACACTCTTCTCCAATCTTTTCCAGGTTAATTTATGGCAACTCCATCCAACCAGCTGTTCAAGCCAGAAACATATAAGTTGTGTTTGATGCCCCTCTTTCCCTACCCACATCAATGCATCAGCAAGGCTTGATTTTAGCTTCAAAACATACCCCAAAGTGACACCCTTCTGTGTACTAATCTGAGCCCAAGCCTTCACCTCATCTGGATGAAGGCATACGCCTGCACTCTGATTACAGAATTGTTCTCCCAAACCAGTTGGGATTATCTAACAGGAGCCAGTCCTGGTCATTCCCTGAAAAAAAAAAAAAAAAGGCTTGTGTTCCTTAAGGAACCAAGAACAAAACACATATACCTCTCTAAGGCCTTTGGGAACCTGTTTTTGCTGATTTCTTCACTCCTAATCACACACACCTGGGCCTTCTTTATGTTTTATTCCATCCAGCTCCTGTCCCTCATGCTTTTTTTTTTTTTTTTTTTTGGTACTGGAGTGTTTGAATTCAGGGCCTACACCTTGAGCCACTTCACCAGCCCATTTTTGTGATGGGTTTTTTCAAGATAGGGTCTTCAGAACTATTTGCTGGAGCTGGCTTGGAACCCTGATCCTCTTGATCTCTGCCTCCTGAGTAGCTAGGATTACAGGCATGAACCACTGGCTCCCTCATGGTCTTTATACTGGTTAATCCCTTTGCTTATAATGCCCCTCTTCTTGATCTTCTCGTGCTGGCTTAATCAGATTGCATCCTGATGTCACCAATCTGAGAGTCCCACTCCTCAAACTAGCCCATTGCCTTCATTCCCTCCCCTTCTCCTCTAACCTCCCCCTCCCACCAATTTTCCTGTCTGCTGATAGGTCCAGTGTGTCTGCAGTTAGACTGTATCCTTGAACCTAACCTCTGATCATGGAGCATTCTCAGGGGATGGACTCTGACCGTTCCGGCTAGAGTCACCCTCCCCGACCCCCGCACCAAACTTCAATCTGCACATGTTGTGGGACAGAGGGGATGCTGATGGACGCTTGTCACAGCTGGACTCGAGGCTAGCGGCACGCTCCCCACTAGAGGGCGGTCCAACCTAGCTCTGTTGAGACACGCCCCGGAGAGGGTGCTGGCGGGGATTTCGCTGAGGTTCAATTTTGCCTTGAGGTCCTGCACTCCCTGAGTACTCAGAAGCGTACAACTCCAGTCCTGTCATTTCCAGGGATTGTTGAGACAAGCTTCAGGAATGGATCAGACCCCGAGTGCGCCACAACATCTTCGGGTACGACGATTTGGTACTCTAACCCCAGCACCACGGGGGGTGGGGGGCAGCACCCGGCCATCATGGTGAGGACCGCTATTCCACTATGGGACAAATAGGGAAACTGAGGCCAAGCCGAAGAACTTCGTGACTATCCTGCGTCACGCAGCAAACACAGGGTTAGCTAAATCTCCCTGGGCGTCAGAGGGTCCCGAGTTGGATACTGTCTGACTTTCAGATACAGCCCTTCTCCTCCCCGCAGAGCGGATGCAAAGTGGGGGAAGGACGCCCAGATCCATCCACCCTAGCCTGGCTGAAAAGGCGGGGCCGTTCTAGTCCGTCCAGTCCCCATTGGCTGAAGCGCCAGGGGCGGGCCGGCTGCCAGATGTTGGGGCGGCGGCTGCGGCGGGAGCTACGGAGAGCGAGGAGTCTTGAGCAACGCGGAGCGTGACCGCGCCGCTGGTCGGCCAGCCAGACCCACTCTGTGACGCTCCTGCCGAGGGTCAAGGAAGAACTGGCAAGCCTGGCGGGGGCTCCGGCACGGACATGCACAGCGCTCGGCTTGACAGCTTCCTGAGCCAGCTCCGCTGGGAACTGGTGAGGCTTGGGAGTGGGTGTGGCCGTGAGGACGTGAGTGGGGTGCCCGACTGGAGCCCGCCCGGAACAATAAACGGGTGCGGGGTCGCCCCGGGTGCCCATCTGAGGCGAGATGGGGGTGGGGCGGCGTAGTGCAGATGGCCCAGATGGCCCGCTTCGGGTTTCGGACTTTTGAGAGCTGCTCCGGGCATCAAATAACAGCCGCCCAGCTGACTGTGATGCCAGGAAACACAGTCGGGAGGAGGGGGACTTACTTTGTCAGGGATGCCGAGAGCCTAAAGAGGTCCTGGCGCTACTGTCTGTGGACGTCCTCTCTACTCAGGCTGATCTGTATTCTTTCCTCTACCCATCACGTAGCAAGTAATCTTTGAAAGACACTTTGGGCTTTGGGTATCTGCATCCCCCAAGAGGCACAGGATGGCCCCCCACCCCCAACCTTGCAGGACTCACTTCCCAATGCAAGCCCGCAACCGTACCCGCCCGCCCTGGTGGCGGGTGCCGACTTGCCCGGCCCCCTGCGTGCTGCAGCCTGCCGGACTGCCACCAGGTCGGCGGATGGGAGCCACACGAGCTTCGTGTGCCAGCGCCCCCACGCCGGCCCTGTGCTCATCTTCTGCCTTGCCGCCCAGGCCAACAGGCCTATCAAGCCCTCCTGAACCCTCTGTTCTCAAGGCTGGCCTGGCTTAGCATGTAGGGATGGCAAGCAATACCCTTCCGACTTCTGCCCTCTTTTTCCTTTAGTTGTGTGGCCGGGATACAGGCTCACCCCCCATGTCTGGCCCTCTGCAGCCACCTCCCAAAACTGACCCATGTGTGCAGCCCAGCGGCCAGCTCAGGGTTTCAGATGCTTTGGAAGAGGACTGCTGTATGGAGGAGGAAGAGGAAGAGGAAGCCTTGAGAACAGAAAACAGGGGTGCAGCCTTGGGGGAGCCCAGGGAACATGCTGTAGACTGGGACTCTGGTTTCTCTGAGGTGTCAGGAAGCACGTGGAGAGAGGAAGAGTTCTCTGTACTCCAGCGCCCAGCACCTCCACCAAGGCCCCCTCACAGCCAACGCTTCTCAGTCAGTGGCCTTCCCCTGCCCAGCAAGACACCTGCAGCCAGAGTACCACCTGTCCACCGTCCACGGCCCAAGTCCACTCCAGATGCCTGCCTGGAGCACTGGCAGGGATTGGAAGCAGAGGACTGGACAGCAGCTCTGTTGAACAGGGGCCGAAGTCGCCAGCCCTTGGTGCTGGGGGACAACTGTTTTGCTGATTTAGTTCACAATTGGATGGAGCTGCCTGAGGCCTCGGGTGAGGGAGGCGATGGAGGTGCACCCCGTGCCCGTCCTCGCCCCCCCCAGTTCCTGCTTGGCCTCTCTGAGCAGCTGCGGCGCCGGCTGGCCAGGACTCGGTGGGCAGCTATGGCAGGAAAGCGGCTGTCATGCCCACCTCACTCCGAACCTGACCTGCCTTCGGACGTCTCACGTTTTGCAGCTCTCATGAGCTGCCGAAGCCGCCAACCCATCATCTGCAATGATGTCAGCTACCTCTGACCCTGCCTTCCAGCCTGGGACAATAAAGCTCTTTTTCTAGACTGTCTTTCCATACCCCCCACCCCGAGGCTTCAGGAGGCAACTCCATCCCTGTGAAGCACAGCCCAGGCAGGCAAACCTAAAGAATGTCCCCTTTTCAGGGTTTTTGTTTTGCTCATTTCACACTGCATTACCACCCTGCTTTTCTATCATGCATCCTCTTCACTTATGTCTTCTTTCAACAAGCATTTATTGAGTATCTGCTGTGGACTCAGATGCAGGGCTCAATAGAGCCAGGTGGTGGGGTGGTGGCTGCCTTGTCACAGCTCATAGTGCAGAGGTGGGAAAGCAGTTTCATCCTCCTCACCCTCACAGCTCAGTTCCAGGACCAGCAGACCAGACTCAGGCACCCGCTGAACCAGTTCTGTCACCCTGGTATGGGGGGGGGGGATTGAGTAGATGAGCTGAGGCATCCAGAAGGCAGCCTGGCATGGACTACAGGGTGCTGGCAGGCTTTTAGGAGTCCAAACCAGAAGCAGGAGCAGCTCAAGACAGGAAACATCTGAAACTATTTTAGGAGCAGCTGGCTGGGCGGGCAGGAGGCAGGAAGCCATTGGTCTCTCGGGAGTGGGCTGTGAAAGGGGGGCTGGGTAGGGTGTGGGGAGCCAGTTGAGTTGGCCAAGCAAGCAACTCCTGAAAGCCCCTCCTCAGGGCTCTTAGTCCTCACCCCACCCCCAACCCATTTGCTGGCTCCATTTGGTGAAAGAATGCTTAGGGAAGGTGTGAGGGGCCTAGAATGGGGTTGGGGAAAAGAAAGGCTATCTGTCCCCCATCCTCAACCTCCAGGGACAGGTGGGACCTGGCTACAGCCAAGGGGAGACTCACCTGAGGGGCAGGAACTGGATCTGCTTTTCAGGTGGCCATTCTGCCGAATAGAGCTGGGCAGTACCATGCAGCAGCATCCTCACCCTCAGCCCATGTTGTTCCTAGAGAGATACAGGTTAGATGCCTGCTGGGCCAGGCTGGCCTGGGCTTGAGGGCAGAGTGGAGACAGGGCACACCTGGATATAGGCCAGCAATGACTCCAGAGTCCTCTCAGGCTGCACAGCAGGCACCTTCAGGCGGTCCCAAGAGGTCCACTTCAGGTGCTGGAACTGGGTGGGGGAGGTGGAGATGGAGAGGAGTGAAAAACTTCTCACACGAACTTGCAACCCCTGTTCCAGTTATTAGCAGCCTTGCCTAGGGGAGGAGCTGGACTACAGACAGGAAGCGGGAGCCAAGGGGTGGGGGTGGGGGGTAGAAGGTGGGATCTGGGCCCAGAATCTCAGCCCCTTCCCTGCCCAGGCTGGGGCCAGCACAGGAAATGGGGCTATGGGGCCCTGTACAGGGAAACAGACATCCATCACACAGGCCAGTTGGTGGGGGGATGAGGGGGTGGTGCTTCCTGAGGAAGCTGGAGCGGGGCTGCTGCAGTCTCTGATAAAATTGCTTGTTCTTCAAATGGGAGGCTGGAAGCTTGGGGACACATCCTATTCCCCCATTCTTCCTTCCCAAGCCTTGGAGTACTTATGGGCACACAGAAGCAAAGGCACAGTTACTACTGGGACCTACTTGTCCACATCCCACTAGGGATACAATGCATAGAAGCTACATCTTCCTGTCCCATTTCCTTCCCTGTTTGAAGAGTCTTGAGGTTCTGGTGCCTAGAGCTGAGGGCAGAAGGGAAGCAGGCAGCCAAATCCAGGAAAAGGGGGCCCTGCCAGCCCCTCAGAAAATATACTAGGGTCAAGCTGAGACTAGGCTAGAAGCAAGATAGAGGCTCCTCTCCTTCCTTCACTCCATGGACAAAGGCAGCCAGTATGCTGGTTAGAGGTGAAGCACCTCACAAAGGGGCTCTGTGTGCTTTGTCCAGAGGGACCCTAGGGCTGCTGAGCAAAAAACCAGGACTAACCAGTGACCTCTGTCCTCTCCCCTAATGAGGGAATATCCTGTACTCCATTTCTTGTCAACTACTGCAGAGCCTGGGCACACAGTTGGAGGCATTCCCAGCCCTGTACTCATAGGAACACCCACATGTATATCTACATGCATATCCATATGTGTGTGTGTGTGTGTGTGTGTGTGTGTGTGTGTGTGTGTGTGTGTGTGTATTCCCACACTAAGGAAGATCCCTGCATTCCCATCTGGCACACAGATGTGAAAGTTCGCCCCCTCCATGCCCACATACCAGGGATGCCCAAACCATGGTGCACTCACATTTGTGACATGGACACACACACTCCTTTAAGAATGCAGCTCCACACCGCTGGTGGCAAGCGTGATGCCCTTTAACTCAGCTTAGCAGGCCAGGGCCCTGAAGGGGAAAGCTCTAGTGCTGTGGCCCTGGTCCTTCCCCACTACTTCTCCTTTAGGGACACTCTTGGGAAGGAGGAGGGTGTGGGGGATATCTGGCTCCACTAATGAGTTAAAGCTGCAGCTCACCCAGACCCTGGACTGCAGGGGGTTGGGAGAGATGGAGAGATGGTTGACGGCTGCTTCCTGTGTCTGACAGGTCCCAGCCTGGTTTCCTAACAGAAAGAGGGCTGGGGGGAGTCTTGAGGACTCCCCCACAGTCTGGGTCCTGGAAGAAAGCCCACAGCTAGAGTGGGGCCTTATTGACTGGGTGAGTGCAAGGAAAATCCAGGACTAGTGGAGGTAGGAGTAGGGTATCAAGAGCTCACCGTCTGGATCGTTGGGGCAGAAGGTACCCAGCGGTCAAAACGGTTTTCAGCCAGATTTAGATAACTGTGACGATAGGCACCAAGGGGCTGTGTCCCGCCCACCACCTTGTACAGTTCCAGGACCAGGAGGCCTGCCACAGCTGCTGTAGTGGTAGCAATGGCTGGGATAATCCGACCCACAATTCGTTTGCTCTGCCAAAGACAGGGGATTTAGTCTGGGTCCAAGGTGTAGGGCTAGGGTTTGGCTCTTACTTCCAGGCCTGAGCCCCAAGAGATGGTATTACCTGGGCACGGTTGGCAGGTAGGATCCCATAGTTCTGAGATCTCAGGCTAGCTGCCATTGTCACAAAGTCCACATGGAAGTTGCTGTCATCATCCTGTGAGGCCCAAATCACAGTAGTGTTAAAACACTCCAGCAGTGCCCCTCACCAGGGTCAACTGTCTGTCACTGCACAGGTCTTTGTACAGTTGTTTAGATGGGTGTTCGCTATCTCCCCTTTCATAACACGATGACACTGAGGTTCAAGGAGGGTGAGCTGCTTTCAGGGTCCTGATGGGAGAATTTGAATTTGAGCTCCCCAGAAGCCCCCCAGCCCAATTCCTTGGATCCTACCTTCTCAAATAGCAGAGGCTTCAGGGGCGAGCCCTTGCTCCAGACTTCCAGTGCCTTCTGTAGTTCCTTCAACTGCTCAGGGCCTGACAGAGAGGAAGTGTTGGGGAAGTCCTTAGCCCCTGTCTCCTGCACTCTTCCTGGAGCCTGGTGTCTATTCTTGGTCTCTTGCCAAGCCTATCACCATTCCTTGATCAAATCAAGGAGCCATTTATTGATGCTACAATCTCCTCCCTAGCAGCTCCAACCTTCACTAGTGTGTGCATGTGCATACATCTATGTGACTCTGTTCTCACCCGGAAGCTGTAGCTAGGCACGCCCCAAAGCTCTTTTCCTTTTTTTTTTTTTTTTCGAGACTCTCCAAAGAGAAATGGGATATTTAATAGGCAACAGAGAGACCTACTGACAGCCAGAAGATGGTGCTAAACCTAAAGAGAAACAAGGTACCAGGACCAAAGGGGTAGTAAATTGAACCCGCAGGCCTTGTATTCCTTCTACAGCCCTGAAGACAGGGTCAGGTCATTAAGTGGCAGCATGGGAACCAGGGCCAGAGTCCTCACCAAACTCAGCAGGAGCCGAAGCCAGCTCTAGGTTACTCGTGAAGATGGGGTTCAGGTGCTGGGGGTCAGGCTGTGGCAGCAACTTCAGCAGCTCCCTGAGTGCAGTCTGGTCTGATGAACCAGGGAGCCCATGCATCTGGGCATACAGGTTGGCAGCTGCCAGCACATAGCAGAGGTGTGTGTCCTGCAGTCAGACCAAAAGCAGGAACAGATGCATGGGTGTGAGTGAGCATGTATGGTTGCATGGGGTGGGGGTTCACTGCTTATTTGTTTGAGTGACTCTCTGCCTCAAATATGGATATTCACTTGTACACGAATGTGGCTCTCAGCATCTGTGTGCCTTTTAAGAATGCACTTCTGCTCTAGGGGCTACATTTCTATCTTAGGGTTCCCCAGGGGACCTTACTCACTTGGTTAATGTCAAATTCCAGAGGCTGAGGACACTGTTTAGGTCCTGACCAGAATGGAGTGCCATCCTCAAACACCTAGGGAAATAGAGACTGCTGGGCTCAGTCTGGTTCTTCTGAGCCCTCAGTTGCCTGATTCCTAGCTACCCACTTTATCAGGTGGAAAGTGCCTCAGCTGTTGTAGGATGTCATAATGGAAGCATAGCTGCCAGTGGCCAAGGGCCCACACCACACAATCTTTCCAGGTCTGTGGGCGCACTCGCAGGACACCAAGCACCTGCTGCAGCAAAGTCAGTATCTGTGGCCCATCCATGTCTGCCAAGGAAGTACATGTCCTGCAGAAAAAGGAGGAAATTTAAAGTTGAGTCCTGTGTTTGGAGTCCTGGATTCCCATCCACCTTGTTGGTGGCCTTACTGTTGGTAGTGGTTGATGGTCTCTGCAGATAGTTGGAAGAGTCTCTCAAATTCATCCCGAGCCCACTGTGGACAATGATGCAGTGTTAGATGAAGAACAGGTCTATAGCCGAGGGCTGAATGGGATGTGGCAGGGTGTGATCACCTGCAGGGTGTGCTCAAATGTGCTGGGGAAGTAGCGCATGGTACACACAGGGTGGATGGTATCCTCAGAAGTTCCAGCTGAGGCAGGGCCACTGTAGGTCTTAGTCACATGTGGTATGAACACAGAAGCACTGCCATGGGTGCCCTGGGTGCCTGCCTCTAGCAGTGGTTTCAGATAGTGAGTACATCGAGCAGCTACATAATGTCCTAGCAAGAGGGCAGAGGGTTAGGAATAGGGCAGACCCTTGCCTTGGGCAATGGGGCTGAGCTCCAAGTCAAGCACTTACGGGCCTGGAAACTGTCAAGGGCAGCAACCACGCCATCCACATGGGAGAAGAAGTTGTCCCCATAGAAGTTCTCTGTGGTTGGATCCAGTGGGTAGGTGAGTGGAGTCACTCGTAAGTCTGGATTCAGACCCTGGGCAGCTGCTGCAGCAACCTTTGCCTTGGACCTCTGAGAAGAAGAGAAGAAGTTACATATGGGGGTATTCTGAGAGGGCAGTCTGGGACACAGGAGCGGGAGGGACCTGTACTCACACCAATATCCTGGGGCCTGAAGAGGAATTGACGACTGAGGTTGGAGCGCTCTATGTGGTCCATGTCAGCAACAACCACGCCTCCGCCGCCGCCTGCTCCCAGGCCCACTAGGGCAAAGCCTTTGAGCATCTCACAGCCAATGGCACCAGCACCCACCTGCTGGTTGAAGTAGTCTTAGCCAAAGGGCTTGGTATGGCCCCCCAAAGACATTACCATTCTCACCCCACAGCTCACCAAGAGGTAGTGCTGGTGACTCAGTTTGTCCTGAAGACCAGTCCCAAACACTGCAATTTGCCCGTCATAGCGGCAGCCTCTCTAGAGAATACAGACTACAGTCAGCGATAGCTGTTGGTCTGTGTCCCATCTCCTTCTTTCACTGAGTTTGAATCAGGATCTCAGGACCATTGCTCATGTTTCTTCCTTGCCCTGATTGTAGACAAGGCTTGTATCCCCACTCTAGGCTCTTACCGGTGCACAGTCCTCAGGATTGGGAAGCAGCTTCTCATCTTCTGGAAGACAATCAAGGGCATCAAAGTACAGCCACTGGTCCAAGGGAATGAACTTCCTGGAGATTGCCTAGGATTCCAGCACTTTAGCATGGGGGCTTCTGCCAATTCCTAACCCCCTCAGATCCCAGCTGAAGGCTGCACCTAGAGCCACTGTTTGATGCTAGGTACCCACTGGCTTGTGGCTAGGTGCCCCAGCCCCTTCCCTTCCCTGCCTGAACCCACTTTCAGGACTTCCTGGGCAGTCACTGCTCCCAGAAAAGCTGCCATGGGGCTCAAACAACCAGCACTACTCAGGGCAATTGTCCGCAGCAAAGCCTCATCCAGCAGTTCTTCTGTCCCTTGTAGTGGTTCCAGGGCCCGAGCCAAGTCCACCACAGTCTCTGCATCAACCTGTAGGGTGGGAGGGACTGTGGGCATAGCAGCCCCAGCCTAAGTTCCAGCACCATCCCCCACTCAAAACCTTCAGGAAGCCATCTACCCTGTTTCACAGAAGAGTAAGCAGAAGCCTAAGTGGGAAACCTAAGTGTTGCTAGTCAGGGAAGTACCACCAGAGAATACCCAGCACCAGACAGAGGCCCTGGAGGCTTCACCAATTTGGGTGCATCTTCCAACCGGGGTCTGATAGATTAGGATTTGGTTATATGCCTAGAACTTCCATGGACCCAGTCTCTAGTGTAAGATAATGGTTTTCCTTTCCTTTGTTTTGAGTGGGAAAACTGCCTCTAAGATTCAAACTTGGAAAAGTATCATTGAGGTGAGTTTTGGCCAAGAGACCCCAATAAGAGGTTGGAGTAGTGCAACAGGACCACTCACAGGATCCCAGGGCTGGGGCAGCCGACCATAGAGGTGCTGGAACTCATGCAGTGCACGGAAGGCCTGATGCAGGCAGTGAGCACGGTGGACTTCTTGGGTACTCTGGGCCACCACACGGGGCTGGAGCAGGGCTGTGTCCAGGGATTCCTGCAGTGGGCACATGGCTCAGGCTCAGTTTCAGAACATTGTGGGGCCATCAAGGCACCCTAGTGCTCCCACCTCAGATGTACTTGCACTCACATGTTTCACAGTCTTGGATCTCTTGACTTCAGTGATAGTCCCACCACGCAAATAATGGGAGAAAGTTGTTGTGTCCCCAATTTCTAAGGATCCATCTTCTGGGAGAGAGCCAGCCAAGTATGTTATGAGCCCCTAAACCCAAGTAGTTCCCATATCCATTATCTTATGTGTGTGTCCCAGACTTTGCTGTACCCTGGAGAAGGTGAAGGGAAAACCTATCCCTAAGGAACAGGTTGTGTTCATCTCCAGAGGGTGTTGGAGTAGGTTGGCTTACTCTGCACACGGATAGGCTGGGGAGAACAACCGTTGAGCTCAACCATCCCTTCGATGCCTGAGAAAGTCACCAAGTCCCCATCACGGAAGGAATGTCCATTGACCTCTCCTTTCAAGGTGATAATGCCAGGGGATCCCTGGGTGGGAGGTGGCTTGGTTCAGGAATGCCCATACCTGCTTTCCACAGTCTCTGGCACCCTTCCCTGGGCAGCAAGTAAATGCCCATGCTTCAGCACTTACCTGGGAGATGTCTTTGATAGCAGCTGTTAGGGGTTCTGCCTCTGTAGGGTCTTGCACCATGAAATCCTCTCCAAAGTCACAGAACAACTGCCTAGTAAGGAGTAGTAGGGGTCACTGAGGTGGCTCATAGGTTGTAGTTAATGGTAAGGGATACTAGGACAAGCTCAGAGGACCTAAATTGGTAAAGAAATGCTGGGGGAAACTTGGAAACTAGAATTTAGGAAAGGGGTTCTAGAGTAAGTCTAGATACTGAGGTGGAGAAACCAGAGAGGTGGAATTGGAGACCAGAATTGGAGGGAATGCTGGGACATGCCTGAGGCTGTGTTGAAAGTGCTGGAGCAAATTTAGAGCCGGGAAAGCAATGGAACCAATTGCTGACTATATTGTAGTAGGCTTGGCAAGCAGTCATACCCCACAAGGCCCCGGGTGTCAGCCACCAGAAAGCAAATTCCATGCGTGTGGCACAGAGTGCCCACCTTCAGCTGCTCCTCCAGCTTCGAAGCAGTCAGCACCACCACCTGGGTGAACACTATGATTAGCAGGGCCATATCCACTGCCTAGCCCTCCCTGCTGTTGAGGTCACAAGGAAGGTGATTAGGCTGGTCTGGGAAGTGGGGTCAAGGGAAGCACCTGAAAGTCCAGCAGTAGGTCCTCAGTAATGTCACCTGAATGGATGAAGACCTGGACAGTTTCATTGAGCTGAGCCAAGCGTGTGTGAGAGGCTTCAGCCCTGCTCCTTTGCAAGTCCTCCTCTGACAGGAAAATCTAAAGGAAAGATCCAGTGCAACCTGAGCAAAGAGAATCCCCTTTATCCCTGCCCCCACTCTGGTCTGGAGGGGCAGAATGCTAATTTCCTCCCCAGACTCTTACCTGGGCAGCCAGGTCAGGCCAGCAGGTGGGATGGGGATCATGTAGAGTGAGGCTGCCCACACCCATCAGGACCAGGTTCTTGGCCACCTCAGCCCCTAAGCCCTGCAGGCCAGACAATAGGACCTTGGCTTTCTGAATCCTCTGCATGGCAGGTATGCCCAACACATCCCTGTGGATGGGAAGTAGGAAGGCAGGCTGTTGGAGATCAGAGATCTGAAGGCCACCCCACCCCTACCCCACCTCAAAGCTCACAGCTGCCTGGAGTATAGTTCTTCATCCAGCAACTTGGGGTGCTCCGGAACATCCATCCTTAGGCTTGGGGCTGAATAGTAGGCTACAGTGCTCACAGCTACAGTCTCTGTGTAGGAAGTGGCACCAGCAGGGACTGTAATGCAAACAGGCACCAAAGCCAAGGGAGTGAAACCAAACTGCTGGTTACAGCCCTTTTCCTGGCTCCTCTGTCATTTCAGGAAACCAAAAGTGAAAGTGAAATTAGACTCTGAGCTGGCTCCTAGCCCTGCTTCTAGACAAGATAGATACCAGCCCTTTGCAGGCCAATCAGGATCTATCACTTGGTTGAGTCCCAGAACTGCAAGAGAGTGGTCAGTCTCTGAGTCAGAGAGATATGAGGGTGGGAGGCATGGAACAGCCACAAGATACAGACATACGTCCTTATTTTTCTTTTAAAGTCTTGTTTTGAAATAATTGTTTTGAAATAGTACAGAGTTCTTGTGGACCCTCCATAGGTTTGTCTTTTTTGCCTTCTTAAGAACTTGGGACAGGTTCCCTGGAACATAGATCACAGCTCCCCATAAAACTCCACAATAGCTAAACCAAAGGCTGTCGTATAGTTTTTTAATTGAGGTGAAATTCATATAAAAAAATTAACCAATTTAGGGATTGTGAATTAAACTCAGCTGTAGAATGTGTGCCTAGCATGTGTGAGATCCTGGGTTCAATCCCCAGCACCACCAAACAATTAGCCATTTTAGTGTATAATTTAATTCATCAGCATTTGTGCAGCTTTCACCCTCTCTAGTTTCAAGATTTTTCTTTTTTGGGGGGGGGCATGGGGTTTGAAGTTAGGGTCTCACACTTGCTAGGCAGGTGCTCTTTTACCACTTAAGCCACACTTCCAGCCCTTTTTTGTAATGGGTTTTTTCAAGATAGGGTCTCACTATCTATTTGCCCCAGCTGGCTTCAAACAGAGATCCTTCTGATCTCTGCCTCATGAGTAGCTAGGATTACAGGTATGAGCCACCAGTGGCTGACTCAAGATCTTTCTTCCTTCCTTCTTCTTCCTTTCATTTCCTTTCCCTTTCCTTCTTTCTTTCCTTCCTTCTTTCCTTCTTTCTCTCTCTTTCCTTCCTTACTTCCTTCTTCCTTTCATTTCCTTTTCCCCCTTTCCCTTTCCTTCTTTCTTTCCTTCCTTCCTTCTTTCCTTTTCTCTCTCTCTTTCTTTCTTTCTTTCCTTCCTTTCTTTCCTTCCTTCCTTTCTTCTTTCCTTCCTTCCTTCCTTCTTTCTTTCTCTTTCTTCCTTCTTTCTCTCTCTCTTCCTTCCTTCCTTCCTTCCTTCCTTCTTCTTCTTTCTTTCGTGGTACTGGGGTTTGAACACAGGGCCTATACCTTGAGCCACTCCATCAGCCCTTTCTTGTGATGGTTTTTTTTTTTTTTTTTTTTTTGAGATAGGGTCTCACGAACTATTTGCCCTGGCTGGCTTTGAACTGTGATCCTCCTGATCTCTGTCTCCTGAGTAGCTAAGCTTATAGGCATGAACCACAGGCGCTCAGCTTTCAAGGTTTTTTTTTTTTAACCCCCAGCAAACACTCAACCCAAAAACGGACAAGGGTGCAACAAAAAAGAGAATTACAAGAAAATCTCTTTAATGAATTTAGATGCAAAAATCCTCAATAAAATATTGTCAAACCGAATTCAACAGCATATCAAAAAGATCATACAAGCCAAGCACCAGTGGCTCACACCTGTAATCCTAGCTACTCAGGAAGCAGAGATCAGTAGGATTGTGGTTCAAATCCAGCCTGGGTAAATAGTTCTGCAAGACCCTATCTAGAAAAAACCCTTCACAAAAAAGGGCTGATAGACTGAGTTCAAGTCCCAGTACCAAAAACAAAACAAAAAAAAATAAACCCAAAAAGATCACACACCATGTTAAAGTTGGTTTCATTCCAGAGATACAGGGATGGTTCAACATATGCAAATCATTAAATATAACACAGTATATTAACAGACGCAAAGACAAAAACCACCTGATCATCTCAATAGATGCAGAAAAAGCCTTTGATAAAATTCAACATCCTTTCATGATAAAAACTCTGATGAAATGAGGCATAGAAGGAATGTACCTCAACATAATAAAGGCTATATATGAGAAGCCTATAGCCAACATCATACTCAATAGGGAAAAACTGAAACCATTTCTCCTAAAGTCAAGAACAAGACAAGAATGTCCACTCTCTCCACTCTTATTCAACATAGTCTTGGAATTCCTAGCCAAAGCAATAAGACAGGAAGAAGAAATAAAAGGAATACAAATAGGAAAGGAAGTAGTCAAACTATCCCTATTTGCAGATGTCATGATCTTAAACCTAAAAGACCCAAAAAACTCCACCAAAATACTCCTAGACACCATAAACTGCTTCAGCAAAGTAGCAGCACACAAAATTAATTTACAAAAATTAGTAGCCTTTCTATACACCAACAATGAACAGACTGAGAAAGAATATAGAAAAACAATTCCATTTACAATAGCTTAAAAAATAGCTAGGAATAGACTTAACAAAGGATATGAAAGACCTGTACAATGAAAACTATAAGCCATTGAAGAAAGAAATCAAACTAAAGAAGATGGGAAGATCTCCCATGCTCAAGGATTGGCAGAATCAATATTGTGAAAATGGCTATATTACCAAAAGCAATCTACATGTTACATGCAATACCATCAAAATTCCAATGACATTCATTACAGATTGAAAAATCAACCCTAAAGTTAATTTGTAAACACAAAAGACTGCAAATAGCCAAAGCAAGCAAAAAGAGCAAAGCTGAAGATATCACAATACCTGTCTTTCAAACTATACTACTGAGCCATAGCAATAAAAACAGTATGGTACTGGCACAAAAAATAGATATGAAGACCAGTGAAACAGGATAGAAGACCCAGATACAAATCCACACAGCTATGCCCACCTAATTTTTGACAAAGGTGCTAAAAACATAAAACAGAGAAAAGATAGCCTCTTTAACAAATGTTGCTAGGAAAACTGGATATCTGCATGTAGAAAACTGAAACTAGATCTATGTCTTTCACCCTGTACAAGTATCAACTTAAAGTGGATTAAGGACCTTAATATAACACCTGAAGCTTTGAAATTAGTGCAGAATTAGTGCAGGAAAGAGCAGGGGATATGCTGGAATAGGCATAGGCAATGACTTCCTAAATAGAACTTAAATGGCTCAGCAATTAAGGGAAAAAATTGACAAATGGGACTACATGAAATTAAAAAGCTTCTGGACAACAAAAGGAATGGTCATCAAATTGAAGAGGTTACTCACAGAATGAGAGAAAATCTTTACCAGCTGTACATCTGATAAGGGACTGATAACCAGTATATACAGGGATCTCAAAAATCTAAACTCCCAAAAAAATCAATGACCCAATGAGCAAATGAACTGAACCGAGCTTTTTCAAAGGAAGAAGTCCAAATGGAAAAAAAACACATGAAGAAATGCTCAACATCCCTGGCAATAAAGAAAATGCAAATTAAAACCAAGTTAAGATTCTACCTCACTCCTGTTAGAGTGGCTATCAAAAACACCAACAACAAATGTTGGTGAGGATGTGTGGAAAAAGGAATTTTCATATACTGTCGGTGGGAAAGTAAATTAGTACAACCACTATGGAAAACAGTATGGAGGCTCCTCAAAAAACTAAAAATAGAACTTCCACATGATCCAACAATACCACTCTAGAATATACCCGAAGGAATGTAAGTCAGATTACAACAAAGGCACCTGCACACCCATATTTATTGCAGCATTATTCACAATAGCTAAGCCAAGATGCCCCACTACTGATGAATGGATTAAAAAATGTATTTATATATACTGGAATTTTATTCAGCCATAAAGAATAATGAAATTTTTTCATTTGCAGGTAAATGGATGGAACTGGAGAAAATCATCTTAAGTGAAGTTAGCTAGGTTCAGAAAGCCAAAAAAAAAAAAAAAAAAAACAGAAAGCCAAAGGCCACATGTTTTTCCCTCATATGTGGAATACAGAGCTAATACAAATACAAGCAATATTATGAAAAACAGGTCACACTAAGGGGAAGTCACATACAAAAGAGGGAAGGTAAAAGAAGGAAATTAAGAAGGTGAATTCAGGCTGGGTGCTGGTGGCTCACGCCTGTAATCCTACCTACTCAGGAGGCAGAGATTAGGAGGATCGTGGTTCGAAGCCAGCCCAGGCAAATCGTTCACAAGACCCTATCTCAAAAAACCCTTCACAAAAATAGGGCTGGTGGAGTGGCTCAAGGTGAAGGCCCTGAGTTCAAGCACCAGTACCGCAAAAAAGAAAAAAAAGGAAAAAGGTGAATGTAATTGATGCACTTCCTATACAAGAATGAACATAGAATTTTTAAACCTGTTGAAATCACCATAAGAAGGGGACTAAGGTGGAAAGGAGAAAAATAGAGGAAATGAACCAATTTAGGTTATAATACATATATACATGGAAATGTCACAAGGAAACTCCCTAGATAGCTATCTTGAACAAACAAAAATGTCATTTTTTTCCCCACAAAATCAGAAAACAGGAGTGCAGAACAGGTCCTGCACTGTTTAGGGGGTTGGTATCAGTGGGAGAGGGGATGATGTGGGGAAAGGGTATAGGAGGGTGAAGATGGTGCAAATACTGTGTACACATCTGTGTAAATTGAAAAATGAGAACTGTTGATACTATTCTAGGAATGGGGGAGGAGGGATAAAGGAGAATGATGGAGAGGGTGAATTCAACTATGATAATATTTGATATATTTTAAGAACTTTTGTAAATGCCACAATGTACCCACAGCACAACAATTAAAAAAAAAAGATAAAAAAGAGACAAAAGTTGGGCGCCAGTGGCTCACTCCTGTAACCCTAGTTACTCAGGAGGCAGAGATGAAGGCGACTGCAGTTCAAAGCTAGTAAATAGTTCAAGAGACCCTACCTTAAAAAAAAAAAAGAAAAAAAAGGGCTGGTGGAGTGGCTCAAGGTGTAGGCCTTGAGTTCAAACCCCAGTACTGGAAAAAAAAAAAGAAAGAAAAGACCACTGCAGAGAAACCTTTTATTGGGTTTACTGTTGAAACACCAGGGGGCAGCACAGGAGAGTGTTGCCGTTTGACACAAAGTCAGTGGCAGACTGCTAACAGAATCAGAAAGTGGGTGTGTCAAGGATGTC